TTTTCTTTCTCCCAAAGAGGGCAGTGTCTTATGGGGTTGAAAGGGAGCAGCCAAGGCAACAAGGCCCATAATGCTTTTTGAAGCTAGGATGGGCATAGATCCAGCTCTGCATTTTCAAAAGGAAAGTGCCAAACGCAACGGACAGTTTTCTTCAAAGCCACCAAAATGTGGGATGACTAGGACGGGTGGGGCAAGTAGACATCGGGCTCTGTTTCCACAGCAGAAGTCAGCTCTCTTGGGAAAGAGGATGAGAAGCAGCTGCAAAGCACGAAGTGATGCATGCTTTGGAAATGTTGAGACTTTGCTTTCAAAATGGAATTCTGAGCCTCTTTCCCGATGATCCATCAGCCGCTTCCAGAACTGCTTTCGCTGTCCATTAACTCGCCCTTGTGGGAGTCTCCAGAACATTTATGCTGGTGGGCACATCAGGAATGGTTGGCGCATGTTATAGGCCTACTCAGTGGTGGGATTCAAATAATTTAACAACCGGTTCTCTGGCCTTAATGACCGGCTGGGTGGGTGTGGCCATGGGCGTGGCCAGGGGGTGTGACAGGTAGCACTCGGCCTTCTGCACCCCCCTGGGAGCAAAAATGGGCTGCAGGGGGCACCGCCCCCCCGCCGCGCCCCGTTTTGGGCCTCCTGGGAGCAAAAACGGGCTGGGAGGGGGCCATGCCACACACACACCCACGCCTCATTTTGGGCCTAGTAGGCCTCCCTGCACTTACCTGGGAGCCAAAATGGGGCGCATGGGGACTCCTGGAAGGGGTGGGGTGGGTGGGGAGGGGAGGGGCCAGCCAGCAATTTAATAACCAGTTCGCCTGAACTGGCCCAAACTGGGTGAATTCCACCACTGGGCCTACTCATGCAATAGAGCCCAAATAAAGAGAACCCCTGAAATGTTTAACTCTGATATAAAAAGAGTTTGGATATGAAACGTCTGCAAGAAAACAACCAAGTTCAGAGAGCATCGAGGATCCTGATATAAAAAGAGCATGACATGAACTTTTATCACAGATGCAAACAATTTACCAGTTAACCCAAGATCAGAATGGTGGGAAACACCAGCAAGTTTACTTTGCTAGAGTAAAAGATTTTGGCATGTTTTCCCATATAGCCAGTCATGCCATGATGGTAAATGAATAAATGCATTTTAATGTCTAAAGTTGTCTCTCCCCCCACCCCCACCCCATACATATGTGCACAACACACTTGTGTTTTTCATTGATAGTATGGAGGGAAAAGAGTGCCTAACGCAACTGAGCTCCAGATAGCCTAGTTTTATAAAATCAGGGCACTGCACAAAAGTTTTGGTAGACATGGAACTATCTTCATCAATGATTTGGACAAGGGGATAGATGAGGACACCAAGCTGGCAGGAATAGCCAGCACTCCAGAAGATAGGCTTAAGATACAGAAGGATCTTGACAGACTTGAACATTGAGTGCTACCTAACAAAATGAAATTCAATGGTGAAAAAAGTAAGGTTCTGCATTTAGGCAAGAAAAACAAAATGCACAGGTATAGTATATGTGATATCTTGCTCAATAGTAGTAACTGTGAGAGGAATCTTGGAGTCCTAGTGGACAACCATTTAAATATGAGCCAACAGTATGCAGCAGCTGCCAAAAAAGTCAACACAGTTGGCTGCATAAACAGAGGGATAGAATCAAGATCACGTGAAGTGTTAATACCACTTTATAATGCCTTGGTAAGGCCACACTTGGAATACTGCATCCACGATATAAAAAAGATGTGGAGACTCTAGAAAGAGTGCCGAGAAGAGCAACAAAGATGACTAGGGGACTGGAGACTAAAACATATGAAGAACGGTTGCAGGAACTGGGTATGTCTAGTTTAATGAAAAGAAGGACTAGGGGAAACATGATAGCAGGGTTCCAATATCTCAGGGGCTGCCACAAAGAAGAGGGAGTCAAGTTCTTCTCCAAAGCACCTGAGGGCAGGACAAGAAGCAATGGGTGGAAACTAATCAAGGAAAGAAGCAATTTAGAACTAAGGAGAAATTTCCTGACAGTTGGAACAATTGATCAGTGGAACAACTTGCTTCCAGAAGCTGTGAATGCTCCAATACTGGAAGTTTTTAAGAAGGTGTTGGATAACCATTTGTCTGAAATGGTATAGGGCAGTGATGGCTAACTTTTTTGGCATCGTGTGCCAAAAGTGGGGAAGCATGCGGGAGGGGAGGGTCACACATGCACATGCCCACGCTCCCCTTACTTTTGGCACACAATGGCACAGTGGGCCCTGTAGGCCTGTATTTCGCACTCCCCAGGCTCCAGAGACTTTCTTGGAGCCTGGAAAAGTCAAAAACAGCCTTTTCCACCCCCCTGGAGGCCCTCTGGAGGCTGGAAATGGCCTGTTTTCCGACTTCCAGTGGGTCTAGAAGGCCCGAAAATCAGCTGGCCAGTGCGCGCATGCGTGCTGCCGCTGAGCTAGGGCAACGCTCATGTGCCTACCGATATAGCTACGTGTGCCACCTGTGGCACGGGTGCCATAGGTTCGCCATCATGGGTATAGGATTTCCTGCCTAGGCAGGGGGTTGGACTAGAAGACCTCCAAGGTCTCTTCCAACTCTATTATTCTGTTATTCTGAGCATATCTCATTGGAAGAAAAGGACCTACTTGCTGGACTCAAAAAACAGAACTAAGGGACCACAAAGGGTTTTGAGGTACATATCATAATAGACCATTCCTTCATTTGCAACCCAAAGTCGTCTAGATTGGCCAGATGCTCACCTTGGTAGTCCAGTTTTCTAACACAGTAGTGTTATCCACTGAAAACAGCTTCAATGCTATGGAAGCAACTCCACTTAACTCAAACACAAACACAAACACAAACACACACACATGTTTACAGATGTCATGTTGATGCAAAAGTTGTGGATAGTTCTAGATTCAATTAGATACCTAATTATATATAAATATTTGTTTGGCCTATTTTTGTTCTTTTTGTGACTTCTTTCGTTTTTATTCTTTAACTGTGAGGCGCTGAATGTGTATACTACATATGTACTTTTGCCTGTGTTCTCTCTTGTTCTTTTTTCCCCCCAATCTGTAAAGTAATCATTAACTTCGGTTTTCCTGCGTTAATTTGCCTATAAATAGAACTTTATTTGGTCTATTTTTATTTCCCTTTTCATTGCTATTCCTCTGTGGAATTCTTCAGGTAGAGATAACTAAATTTATGATCAACTATGTTGCTCAGTTTTCCCTTCCCTTCCCTTATCTTCCAGTCCCTTCCCTTTTGATTATTTACATATTTCAGGTCAAGAAAAAGCCAGGAACCCCCTCCTGACTCTTGATGTTTTTTTATATTAAAACTCTTTGAGTAATTGCCAGGTACATAGCTTGAAATGTGGCTTGCTGTACAGGACTCTGTTGACCAAACGTTTGCAGCCTAACGTTAGCATCACCTTCTGCAACATTTAAAAAACTGAAAGGTCCTTGGTGGTCATTTTTCTCTAGGGAGTTCCAGGATGCAGGATACTTCGGTGGAAGAGCCATTTTCTCTTCCCAAGGACTCTGTCAATAATACAGCAGAGGGCAGCACTTGAGAGGTGATCTTGAAAAGTTAAGCAGGGTCAGAATTCTTGGATTGGGTACCAGGAAAACGCAGGGAAATATGCTAAGAAATCAATTCTGAAAAATTCCTGAAAGAAGGCAAAGGTAAATAAGACTATGACAGATAAGTACATTATTTTAGGTACAATAGAAGTCCAGTTCAAATGTTGGGTTAGGATTGGGGAGAACCAGGTTCTAGAACCCCTTCAGTCATAGAAACTCTCTGGGGCACTCTAGGCTAGTCCCTTCCTCTCAATCCAAGAGTGAAGATGGGGTAACGGGAAAGGTGCTGATCTAGAAATGCGGACAATCAGGTCCAGAATCAGATTCTAAAATCAGATCACCTTAATCAGGGCTACGATTAAGGGGCCAAATCTCTGTGAGGTGACTGGGGAAAGGAAGGAGCTGCCACGTCTCAGGGATCGCCGCCTGTGTTTGTGAGGGGACACACAGTTGAGCTGCCTCCTGCACTGGCCACACCCACCCCTTCACTAGGGATTATTTTTCAGGTAGGGCTTAAACATTAGGCCCACCCCCCAAAAAAATCCAGATAGGGCTTATTTTCGGGGTAGGTCATATATTCGGGAAAACACAGTAGAATCATATGGTCAGAAGCTAGAACCTGATTTTCAGATGATCAAACTCTGGTTCCAGAATGGGGTTCTCAATCATGGAAGGAAGCTCCTTGGATTGGATATTTGGCTAGTCACTCATTCAGGACAACTTACCTCACAGGGCTGTTAAAATAGGAGGAGGGAGCAAACATACATTGCTTGACTTCTTGTATACGAGTCAGGATATAAATCTAAATACTATGTGAAAATGGTCTGGATCTAGTAAGGCCAGATGGTTCCTCCACTACCAATAAAACTGGGACTATTAGTAGTGTTTAACTGCAGAAGAGAGAGAAAATTAGGGCTCAGAAGATGGTTAAAGAGTTACTTGATAGTGAGATGACTAGCATATAAATTTAATGGATAAAAATAAATTGTATTTCTGGAGAAGAAGAAGCCAATGTGATACCTTCTTTCCAACTCCTATCATGTTTCCCCAAAAATAAGACCCCGTCTTATATTTTTTTGAACCCCAAAATAAGCGCTTGGCCTTATTTTCAGGGAGGTCTTATTATTTTGGGGTGCGTGGAGCAAGATGGGGCTCCTCTTGCCATTTTACCTGATTTCCAGCTCTGTGTTTAAATATTTTTGGGGAGGGCTTATTTTTGGGGGGAGGCTTATTTTAGTGCATGCGCTCAAAAGCTCGACTGGGCTTATTATCAGGGGATGTCTTATTTTTGGGGAAAACAGGGTATATATGATTAAATATAACTCCAATATTGGCAACAGCCAAACATTTACCAACATTCCAATAGGTTATGCCTTTTCAGGCCCTGCATCCCACATCACATAACACGCTCCTCCTCGTCATATTTAAAACAAATTTTATTCATGAAAATATGCTGTACAATGCACTATACACAGTTCTTTACATTGCCACATACACAAAAACTAGAATAGCACGATCAAGGTTACATTGCGTACAATATATGGGTGGTGAGAGATAACAGCCTGTTGAAAACCCCCTAAGCCCACCCCCGCCCCGGCATCTGTACAGTTATAAATACGAGGAGGAGAAAGACACACTTTTTCTTTTAATTTTACTGGGGGGGGGAGACTTGGTTTGGGCCAACCTTCTTTGCAAAACATCGGGACGCCCCCCTCCAATGGGGGGGTCTGGGATTTCACAGACCCTCCCGTTGCTTTATGTTCCCTGAAGCAGCCTTGCATTTCGTGCTTCTTATTTTTCTCCTGCCCCGTGGAGTTATGAAGCTGATGCAAGCTATGAGGCCAGGTGGAGGTGGCCACCGCTGGTCTGCTATGGTTGCACTTTGTCCAGAGGTCTAATATGGGCAACACATGAACCACGTGTCTCATTTGTGCAAACAGCTGAATCTTGCAAAGTCACCAACGCCAACATTCGGTGGCAAAAAAACAATGGGTTTTGGAAGCCTCGGGTTTCTTTACAAAAACAGGCCATGTTCACAGAACACCTGTAACCTAGAGTTTGGATGAATCCATTTTCCGGTTTGTACAACACATTGAACCATAAACTAACCAAATGGCCTGGGTTTACGCAACAGACTAAGCCACAAAAATACTAACCAAGGTTAACACTAGTCAAGCTTAGCGTGTTGTGCATCGGCAGCCACTGACTGCATTTAATCAGGTTAAATCTTTTGGGTGAACATAGCCATAACATCTCAAAATAGGTATTGCCAGCTTTTGGGAGACTGCTATATACCGGCTATATTTTCTTTCAGCAGCGGCCTCAGAACCTCCCAACTTCCTGAAAAAAATAGGCTTAAATATTTTGCCCGCCCCCAACCTTTACATTTATGTCATTCTCCTGTGATCTTGAAACATGGTAACTACCAATCTTGATGGTAACTTTGCCCAAAAAGAGTCAGCCACACAATCTAATCAGATTGTCACGCAGCGATCTATGGGATGCAAAGGCTGCGTTTGCATTTGATTTGTTTAAATTTGTTTTATTGAATAAACCATAGATGGTTAAGCTTGCCCAATAAAACTAAGCCAAAATGTTACTCAATTTATAGCTCAGGGTATTATTTATCATCAACCTGAGCTGCAGAAACAGTAGTGTGGCTGCTCTTGACCTTATATAGAAGATATTACAGGGTCATAGAATACAGAAGATTGATTTTTTTTTTTTTGAGTTTGAGGGTTTTTTTCAACATCTAGACATTATTTGCCATGAAAAACGAATCTTTTGGTTTCATGAGTTCTTTTGTGCTGGTAAGAAAAAGAAATAGAGGATCTTTTTTCATTCCTTGTTATGGGAGTGCTGCCTTGGTTGCGTGTACAGGTTGAGTGGTTGAGAAGCCTGTTCTATTCGTCAAGTAGGAATGTCCACACAGGGTATGGTCAAAAAGCCAGCATGGGAGCCACGATGATGCAATCAAAGCCCCACCCCTTTTGGGTGAGCAGAAGCAATCGTGCACCCGAAGCTCCGCCCCCCCCCCTTTACATGGACACACATAAGAACCTGGTGAGCTTCAATGGTACTTCAATTGTGGCTGCCATCTTGGATTTATATCTACCATACCTTGCGGTCATTCCTGTTCCTGGGGTGTTTTCAGGAAGTTGTGGGAAGGAGGGGAGGGAGGGAACAATAGGCCCTGTGAATCTCAGTACCGAGCAATTGCCTCCAGTTATGATTACAGAATCGTTCCTTCAACAGTAGAGATATTGGTTTTTTTTTTTTAGAGAAAATGTTTATCTCGAAGCATCAGATTGCTGAGATGAGTTTAAGTCTGTCTAGTGAGACAATATAATTCCTCTACTTGAGAAGAAATTTAAACCAACCCTCCAAACATGTGAATTAAACTGAATCCTAGATGGAAAAAAGATAGAAAAGAAACCATCCTAAATACAGGCATGACAAAAGAATGGTTTTTTTTTTTTTTTTTTGAGGGGGTGGGCAAGCCATCCTAATTTTGCACTCAAAAAGGAACCATTCAGCTTGATTAGAAACACAGACAATATTCCACTTCCTTGGCATGGTTGACTCCTTGCTGGGTTCTGGCCACACCAGCAGAGCTGTCCACTTGGTATAGTCTAAAAAGCTATAGAAGCACCCATGATAGTATGATCGAAGATCCCATTCATTCATTTAAAAAAAATCATCTTTTTTTGAACCATACCCTGTGGACTTCAGAGACAGTGGCACACCAATGCACCTCAGTGCCTCTCACTAGAAGTTAAGTTTGCTCAACACAGTTTCACCGAAGCCATCGAAAGCATGAAGATGAGACTTGGCTTGGAAATATCTATGGCAGCCTTTCCCCACTTTATTTTCTTCCCTTTGAGTTGGACATCAAGCTTCATCATCCCTCAGGGCCATGCTGGCTGAGGAATTCTGGAGCCTATAAATCCAAACAATCTGGAAGGTATCAGGTTAGAAGAAGTGGTTTAAATTACAGAAGTGAACATCCAGCACTTCTGGAGGGCACTAGTTTGGAAAAGATGAGGTCAAAGTCATTAGGTTAATGACTTAGGGCAAGAGGCAATCGTGTCTCCCCCCCACATACACACACCTTAGGCGATATGTAAAAACCAAGTCAAGTTAATAATAATTGAGATGATCAAGGCTGCATCTGTTAGCCAGCTTGACTGTTGACACTCAATTTGGCCCTAGAGGATGATTGACCACAAAGGGATCCGGAAGAAAATTAATCATCACATCAATTTCTAAAGGCAACAACTGATCCTCACCTCCCTGAAACAGTGCCAGGCAAAATGATCTTTCATAAATTTCCATCAAACTTCTGGGCAGAGCAATTAGGAGGACCAGGGAAAGGAAAAAATTTGTGATGACAGTATTATCATTACTGAAAATACTTTATGGGAAGGGTTTCTATCTAATGTTTTCCGTTAAATTTAATGGAGGTACGGCAGGGAGCCAGAGAGACAGAGAGAGAGAGCTGGAAAAAAGATTGGTCAACAAAATACATGTTCTTCACACATACACACACACACACACACTTCTTGGCTATCTTTTAACTACACAAGTGCAAGAATGCTAGCTTTGAGAATTGCACCTAAATTCTCTTCTCCCCTGAACTATTTTCTAAGATAAATTGTTTTCTGTTTGATTGAAGGAACCCTGATCAGGAGAAAAAAAATTGCACCCTGCCCAGCCTTTCAAGAGCTTCTCTTTGCCAAAGTCAGATGATGGACAAGTCCACCATATTGTCATTTTTAAATACACAGCCATCCCACAAATTCTCCTGCTCCCTCAGCACTGCATTGGACATCCAGAAAAAGTGATAAAATGTCACACCGGGCAAATATTGCTGCTATTGCACACCTGAAGGACTCCCACTGACATGTCACCTGGATGACTGAGCAAAGGGAGCCTTTCTGGAGGCGGAAATCCGATGTGGGTGGTACCCCAACATCCCAAATGAATTATGTGCTGTCTGCCTGTACAAAAGACTGAGGGAGGAAACGTCACTAGAACAGGAGTTCCAGTTTCTTATTCTTCTTTTCTTTCCATCTGTGTTCACCTTGCAGGATGTTTTTATGTCATCCTGTAATAGTCTGCTTTAGTCACAAATCTCACTGGATTTAATTTAAAAGCAGCTGCACATTTTCCAGTATACACGGTGATACTCAGATTCTGCACTCGCTCTCCCTCGCCTCAGATTCAGAAAGTTCTAGAAATGGCCGCCGAGTTTACAGTTTCATATTTCATTACATACATTTGGGGAAAATGAGGCTGACCATACAAAAATAAACTTGTGAGCTGGATCACAATTGTAACAGTAGTAGTAGAATGCAGTAGTAACAGTGGTAATTACAAAAAACAGCTGAAAGCAAGCAGAAAGAGAGATAGAAAGAGACTCCTGTGGAATCAAAATATAGTAAATTCGGTGTAATAATCTGGAAAAGCCCTCTGAGGGGAAGGATTAAAGCCTGACCCAGAGCAAAGAGTAATATGGGCTGTTCGAAGTCTTAGCCTGCTAATTTCCTGGGCCAAAGTGAGTTATCCAATATGTAAGTCAACATTTTCTTAATATGGTTTACTGAATAGACTACAATTGACTGACTTCATACAACACACTAAATCATAAACCCTGGTTTACAAATCACACTGGCTCAATTCATACAGCACACTAAACCACAAGCAAGTAAAATCATATTTTGCCTTAGCGTGTTGTGTGAACTCTACCCATGATAAACTCAACTGATTACGAGAAATCTACACCTCCCTATTGCAGATGGCCTCTGGACGCCAGGTTCAGGTAAGAATCACAGTGTGACTGGTAGAAATACCTGAAACAGCAATGCAAAAATGAAGGAGGGAAGTCAGGAGATCATCTCACTGTCTTTCTCTTCACTGTTCATAAATGGTGACCATGCCTTGTACATGATTCTGGAAACTGGACTCTTTCCAACCACTCGTTCTGTGCACCTACAATATCTTGCATCACTCTCGTCTCTTGATTTTTCCCTAAATACCATCCTGTTCCATACTGAATGGGCACGTAAGCTATCAGTTCTCAGAATTTTAACCAACAGCCATGTTGGCTGGACACATCTAGACCTTGGAGGCACCTGATAGGAAGAAGAAGGCTGACTGAGGATGAATTTGCCTTGTTGAACTAAAAGTCCAGGGGGGTGATGGGAAAATGTAGAAGATGGGATCTCTCTTCCTTGAGGCTCATGATGAGGCTTGTCCACTCTCCCAAATTCCAACTGGTGTAGGAGATAATTTTTTTTAATAAAAAAGATTTCTCATGAATGCCTTTGAATCAGGCTATAAATAATTGGCCTTTAAAAAAAATCCACAAATATACCACATCATGCTTTTTGTAGGCATCTAACTGCTAATTTGCAAGAGCAAACTCTATATCAAGGTTGATCATTTGTTTCAATGGTAGAGTGGTCAGAACCTAAGAAGATTGCTCTGGTTCCAAAGGTCCAGAGATATTATCATCTTAGAGACTGAAAGGCCTGGGAATTTAAACAGTCCTGAAAAGTACTTGGAAGATGCCACAATTCGATTGATCCTTTTATCTGGGGAAGGGCAAGAATTAGCCCCAGATGGGCTCTACTGATTTTTGCATGAGTTTTCCTCCATGAAGACAGGGGCAACCCATCCTTCTAGTTAGAAACATTTCCAGCGATTGTTTTGAAGGCTCCCAGCTTGCACTAAAGTGCTAAACTTTTTATAAAAAAAAATAAATAAACCTGTATATTGGGTTGTTTTGAAGACCTGCCTGGATCTGGGGATTAAAATGGGGTTAGGCAGCCGGCAGTAATGATAATTCCAACCGTGTTCTCATTTCAGATATGCGTGGACTTGTGAGCATGAATGTACATGAGAAAGGGACACAATGAGCTCGTTACCCTTATTCTAGAGCAGTGTTTCTCAACCTTAGAAGCTTGAAGATGGGTGGACTTCAACTCCCAGATTCTGGGAGTTGAAGTCCACCCATCTTCAAGCTTCCAAGGTTGAGAAACACTGTTCTAGAGACTTCACACTTCAAATGACAAAGCTTTTTGCTTATTATTGCAAGATGAACAGTTCAAGAAATCAAATGTCCATGTTGGGTCTCAGTGTAGCAAAGAACACTCAGGAATGAGACAGACAGAAGATGAGAGAAGGCTAATAATACCAATGAGATCTTAGGCAGGTCCCAGATATTTAGCCTTTTCTCACATTGACCCCTGGCATCTATCCATCATCTATCATGCCACGTCCAGAGAGAACTCTAGTTTTCTCTCATCCCCTTGTGGTTTGGGTTCTTCGTGCCCCTATTCTAATAAAGCCAATCCTTTTTCAGATATTGTACTTTCTTTCAGCCCATTCAACTCTGGACCTTCAGTTTTCTCTGGATGGAAGAAAAGAAATTAGCCATTTCCTCCTTGTTCCAGATTGCCAGGACTAATCACTCTCTAGAACCAAAATTTATTATTAGGGAGTGTTATATTAGCTACTTGTTAGATTCAGCCTTACGAGTTTCATTACTGGAGGTGCAAATGCTGAAAATAAGTTGCCATCAGTTTTTTTCCCATTCCACCTTCCTATTTAACCTGCCCATCCCAGCAGCAGCCATCTCTGCCACAATGCCAAATGCCATTTGTAAGTGCAAACGGCACATATTTGGATGCTGGAGCAAATGGTATCAGGGCCCATTCTCCCACATGGCTGTGTGCATGCACATGTCATCCTGTGAGCTGTTTCTGTTGCAAACCCAGATGGCATGAAAATGAACACGAAAATGAGCAACGTTGACGAGTTCAGTTCCTGTTACACCCCATTGTCTACTGGGCAATGCAGAGTCAGTGGCTAGATTTATAACAATCAAACACATAGTTGTTGTTTTTTTCTTTCTACACCAGCCATGGCACAAATACCTCAGATCTACTTTTCCTACCTGTTGAGCAAATCCTCAGCAATTCGGCTAAAAGGATGGAGATATAATGCAGCTATTGCATGGCAAACCTAGGTTTCACATGAGAAGTTAGTTCTTCCCCGTTGCTGTTGGCAGCTGCATAAAACGGGGGCCCTATTATACAGGCAAGGAGTGAGCGAGAAGAAGAAACCAGATAGAATTTAGATAGTTAGGAAAGTGAAAAGCCAGCGGAAAACTTGTTCTAAAACCTTTTCATGGAAGCCATCTAAGTCAGCGGCCTTTTGGGCACCAGGAACCGGTTCCGTGGAGAGGTTTTTCCACGGACCGGAGGGGGCATGGTTTCATGCGCTCCCTGCATCCCACGGATGGGGCTTCCTTTGTTTGCGTGGCCCTTTTTCTGGCATGAATGCTTGGCAATAGCTCTAGATTGTTTTTCAGGTTACATATCACCTGTTCCCTCTTTTGGTGCAATAGTGCAAATGCCCAGGGAGGGAGAGAGGGAGGATGGCGGGGGGGAAGGGGAAGGGGAAGCGACTTTGCAATGCCATGGCTAAGTTGTGCCTATTGCACACATCAAAGACAGATCCGACTTACTGCACAATACACCTGGCACAAGGCGGGAAGCCGCCGGTACCTGTCAAAACATTTTACCCTACATTGTGTGTGTTTGTGTGTGTGTGTGTGTGTGTTTGTGTGCGTGTGTGCATGCGTGTGTCGTGTCGTGTCATTGTCAAGTTTCAACAGATGGCTCTAGCCTGGCTGAAGAAATGAAGGCAAAGAACAGAAGAAGAAGAAGAAGTAGAAGAGCAGGGCTGAATGATGGAGGAAAGAGTTCTATTTCCCCAAGACCCTCTTCGCCCCTCTCACTGCTGGGCCTGAGCAGCCTGAACGGGCCTCATCCAGGTACCCAGCTTTGATTGTTGGGCTGTGGGGCGCTAGGCAAAGGGGCCACGTTGAGACCGTTTTGTGGTGGAAGAGCCGAGTCAAAGTTGAAGTCCATCTCGTCGCTGTCCATGAAGTCATTGAGGATGATGGACTCCACATCGCATTCCAAGCTCCCGTTGAACATGTCCAAGTCTAGATCGGCTGGGAATCTGTCCTGACTCAAAACAGGGGTGTGCATGGCTTCTGGGTAAGGTCCCTGCAAGGAATCTAGCAAGCTCATGTGCGCCCCCTGGTTGCTGACGTAGGAATGGAGATGCCCGTGGTGAGGCATGTTCACCATGCTGCAAGTGTCACCGGGCAGGCTCATAAGGCTGATCGGAGAGGGTAAGGCACTGTTGTTAAGAGGAGGGTGATGGCCAGCTGGTGATGGGTGATGGTATAATGTGTTGCTCTTCATGAGAGAGGACGAGTGGGGAGGGTAGGGGACCAAGCCTATCTCTCCGCCTCCACCCCCACCACTACACACCAGGGCATTTTGTCTGTGGCCGCGAGGCAGGCCCATGCTGCTGGCCGGGGGCAGGTGCGGCTCCCCCTCCTTGTGTGCATAGGAAATGGAGGAGAGCAGGTCCTGCAACGAGGCGTTGCGATAGGAATTCATGGGGACGAAAGTGGCCTGCTTGTTCTCTTGGATGGTCTGCATGGGCAGACGGCGCATGATGCTCATGGCGGGCTGGCTATAAATAGTCCCAGAGTAGGTATTACCACCTCCTCCTCCTCCTCCTCCCCCTCCCCCACCTCCTGCACCCACGGAGGAGCACTTGGAGCTGAAGCCAAAGTTGGAGGTCCTGGGCCGAAGTCCTCCAGCAGAAAGCGGCTGGGCTGGGCTCATGCTGTAGTTGTCCTGCAAGTCATCTAGAAGGCTCTCTCCCAGGCTCTCGTTCAGGTTGATGGTGCCGGTGAGATCAGTCAGCCTGGGCATCTCTACGGAACAGCGGGCGTTCAGGGAGGGGGACAGGGTGCTCGAAGGGCTGGGGTACATCAGCGGGGAGGATGGGGTCCCGTCATCCTCCTCCAGCTCATCTGGCTCATGGTTGGCCATGATGGGGGAGAGGCGACCACTCAGCGTGCTGGCCGAGGAGTTGGCCCGTGTCCGGAAGTCAGCCCAAGCGTCGTATTCCTCGCTGGCATGGGAGGTGGGGCTCTCTGACCATTTGGCCTGCTGGCTAGCTGGGCTCTCGTCTCCTCGTTCCTGAGTGGTCTGGTTCTGTTTTTTCCGACTGGCTTTGCCCTTGATCCGCAGGAACTTGCTGTTGTTGTCCATGGAGACGGCTCGTCGGCGGGGCGTCTTCCCGGTTTTGCCACCTTCAGGGTTCAGCATCCACCAGGAACTTTTGCCGGTGCCTTCATTTTGCACACGGATGAAGCGGGTGTGCAAGGACAGGTTGTGCCGGATGGAATTCTGCAAGCAAAACAAGACCAAAAGAGGAAAGAAGAGAGAGAGAGAGAGAAAAAAAATCTATCACTGTTGGCCAGAAGCAATCTTCACATTTCTCACTTGGCATTCTGCTTTCTGCTTTCTACCATCCCCCGAGCCACCCATCACCTGGCTTTATAGCGGACATTCAACAAACTTTTCCAGCTCCGCTTGAGGTTCGCAGAGGGCCCCGCTTTTCTCAAATCGAGAGACACATTTTGGGGTTTAAAACCGCACCCTGCTCAAAATAGAGAGCACCGAAACAAAGACCGGGAATGGCCAGGATAAAAATAAATAAATCAGATATAAACTTAATTAGCTCCTCATTAACTAAATTAAATATTCAGTTAACATGATTATAGTCAAATCTCCTTGAAAGCCAAACTCAACTCCTGGGGACTTCCTAGAGGTGTCCTTGAGTCATATTCTTGAACAAAGCCTGATTGGCTATGATCTTTTCCTGCAACATCAGGAAAGTGTTACTAACTTTAACAACTGCAATGACTGACTTAACAACTGTGGCAAGAAAGGTTATAAAAATGGGCAAAATTCACTTAATAAATGTCTCACTTAGCAACGTACATTTTGGGCTTAATTATGGTTGAAAGTTGAAGACTTCCTGTACATCCTGTACACCCGCCCTCTGGAACGAGCTACCCCCAGGAATACGACTGATCCCGACCTCCGTACTTTCCGTCGAGCTTTGAAGACCTTCCTATTTCAGCAAGCCGGGCTGGCTTAAAATTTTAATGGGTTATTTTATGGGCAAAGGGTTTTAAATTTTGGGAAGCCAATTTGATCTAATTCTGTTTTAATTCATCTTAATTTTTATATTGTATGTATTTTAATCTTGGCTGTTCACCGCCCTGAGTCCTTCGGGAGAAGGGCGGTATACAAATTTAATAAACCTAAACCTAAATCTAAACCTACATAGAAGTCAAGGTTTTTGCAAATATTTTTCTAAGCTTTTCTCTTTCTCCCTCCCTCCCTCTCCCTCTCTCCCCCTCCCTCTCTCCCCCTCTCTCCCTCTCCCTCCCTCTCCCTCCCTCTCTCTCTCCCTCCCTCTCTCCCCCTCTCTCCTTCTCCCTCCCTCCCTCTCTCCCCCTCTCTCCCCCTCTCTCCCTCCCTCTCTCCCCCTCTCCCTCTCTCCCTCTCCCTCTCTCCCTCTCTCTCTCTCTCTCCACTGAGCTTGATGCAGAGTTTTATGGAACTCCAAAGCTGACACCTATCAACTGTTCAATGTGTGCTGAGTGTTGAGTGTTCCTCTTGTTCTACTTGTTGTCTGGAACTGGGCGAAGACGGCTGCCGGGCAGAATGAACTAAGCAAGGAATTGCACACACAGACAGGGGGGATGGGCTGGAAGGAGGCACACAGGGGTCGAAAATCGCCCGGTGAGAGGCTGGCGAGGCGACTGCCGAGTTTGGATCCGTGCCTTTGTCCAGAGGCATACTAATGAGCAGGCAAGAAAGTTACAGAGGCCCATAGATCATATTATGGAATGGCTTGCTTCTCTGCACTTCATTTATTTGGAGACTGCTTGCAGGCTGGCACTCTGCCAGCAGCCACCAAATCCAAGTCTACAGAAATCAATCTCTCGCTGACTGATTAAGCCGTGTTTAGAACTAATTGCTCCTTCGTGTGTGGGGAGAATAAATTATGGGCTTTCATCTCGGCATCTTTAAAATGCAATAGCAGGTAGGGCCTTCGCCCGTTAACTCTTTCCATCCCGCAGTGCAGGAGACGAGGCATGCCAACTTGGAAAGCCTTGACCAAGAAAAAAAAGGAGGAAGAGGAGGAGGAGGAGGAGGAGGAGGAGGAGGAGGAGGAGGAGGAGGAGGAGAAGAAGAAGAGGAGGAGGAGGAGGAGGAAGAAGAAGGAGAAGAGGAGGAGGAGGAGGAGAAGAAGAAGAAGAAGAGAGGAGGAGGAGAAGAAGAAGAAAAAGAAAAAGAAGAGAGGAGGAGGAGGAGGAGGGGAGGAAGAAGAGGAGGAGGAGGAGGAGGAGGAAGAGGAGGAGGAGAAGGAGAAGGAGAAGGAGAAGGAGAAGGAAGAAGAAGAAGAAGAAGAAGAAAGAAGAAGAAGAAGAAGAAGAAGAAGAAGAAGAAGAAGAAGAAGAAGAAGAAGAAAGAAGAAGAAGAAGAAGAGAGAAGGAGGAGGAGAAGAAGGAAAAGGAGAAGAAGGAGGAGGAGGAGGAAGGACTTGGGGGGGATTGGAGAGAGGCATTTAACATGAGTGCCTTCCCCTTCCATCCCACCAGCTGCAGCAGGGGTCAAGAGATATGCACCGGTCCCTTGTACAAGTGCTAGTTGGCTTTACTGATCTCCCCAGGAAGAGCAGTCCTTCGGGCTATCTCAAAAATGTATGGCAGGCAGCGAGGAAGATTTAATGAATCACTTCCCCCAATAATGTTGCTGCAGGGCCCCATCGGCCACAGTATTCCAGCTGGTGAGGTCCAGGGAGAGAGCCTCTTTCTGCCATTGGAACATCTCCCACCCACCCACCCCCGTGAGATTGGCTCCAACCCTTCTGATCTTCCGTAAGAGCTTAAAGACCTGGCACTGCCAGTTTGGGCTTGGGGCTCCAATAGAGGGGTCCACATTGCGGGGGGCAGGGGGTTGATAGATCAAGAGCAGATCCCACCCTCTCCCCCCTTCTCATCATAAGCCCTCCCCCCCCTTCCCTCCCCATCTTTTTAGCGAGGTTGATTTTTTTTTTAATAGCAGTGTATTTGTATTATTAGGTTTGACGTAGTTTTATATTTTAATATTGTAAGCTTGCTGCTCAGAGTTACTGCATGGTGAGATAGGCAGCTAATAAATTTTGCAAATAAATAAATAAATAAATGGAGGCAGGATTTTAGGCAGAGACCTTTTTACCTTCTACTCCACTCCCTCCTCGCAGACATGTCAAGCGTTCCCTCTCTTTCTCTCTCCCTCCTTCCCTCTCCATTTCTCTCTTTCTCTCTCTCTCTCTCTTCCCTCCCTCCCTCTCTCTCCATCTCTCTTTCTCCTTCCAACCCTCTCCCTCTCTCCATTTCTCTCTCTCTCTCTCTCTCTTTCCTTCCTCCCTCCCTCTCTCTACATCTCTCTGTCTCCCTCCAACCCTCTCCCTCTCAACATTTCTCTCTCTCCCTCCCTCCCTTTCCCTCTCTCCATTTTTCTTTCTCTCTCTTTCTCCTCCCTCCCTCTCTCTCCCTTCTCCATTTCTCTTTCTCTCCCTCTCTCTCCTCACTCACTCCCTCTCTCTCCCTCTCTCCCTCCCTCCCACTCCCTCTCTCATTTCTCTCTTTCTCTCTCTCCCTCCTCCCTCCCTCCCTCTCTCTCCCTGTCTCTCTCCCTCCCTCTCCTTCTCTCCATTTCTCTCTCTCTCCCTCCCTTTCCCTCTCTCCCTCTCTCCATTTCTCTTTCTCTGTCTCTCTCTCCCTCCCTCCCTTTCTCTCTCTCCCTCTCTCTCTCTCTCCCCCCCCCACCCACACACACACACACACACACAAAGAACACGGGCAATAAGCTCAGAGGCTGGGTCTAATGAATTCACCAGCCTGATGCATGCTTCAACCCTTTCCGTTTCAGACAGCAGCTAAATTCTTCTGTTTGGAGTTCTCTTCCTCAATTCCAATGCCATGCATTGCCTGCCCTGAAAGTCTAGCTCAGATTAAGCCCTGCTTCTTCCCCCAGGGCATCTGGGAATTCAGGGGGAATTCTGCAGTCCTGATGCAGAACTGGAGGGCACCAGGTTCCAAAAGGCTTCTCCCCCTATGTGACCTAGAAGAGCAAAGCAGTTTTAAATCCAACCTGAGAAGAGCGTGAACAACATCAAGGTTGGCTGCCTATCTTTAAAAATAAGACTGTCCTTTTTCTGAACTTGCTGAGTTTGCAAAAGACTAGGAGGGACACGGTTGAGGGAAGCAGAAGAATGGTAAAGACAACAGGTAAGACGGAGAAGGTGGATCAAAGAAATTACAAGCCATGCTTGGAAAAACAACGAGATATTATCAAAGAGGGCCAACATTCATTCGTGGGAGAGTTGAGCCTGTCTCAGTGATAAACCTGCACAGATCACCTTCTCAATCTTCCCCTTGAGGTCTGCTGTATTTTGGTCGCCACGGTGTAAAAAAGATGTGGCGACTCTAGAAAGAGTGCAGAGAAGAGCAACAAAGATGATTAGGGGACTGGAGGCTAAAACATATAAAGAACAGTTGCTGGAATTGGGTATGTCTGGTCTGATGAAAAGAAGGACCAGGGGCGACATGATATCAATGTTCTGATATTTAAGGGGCTGCCACAAAGAAGAGGGAGTCAAGCTATTCTCCAAAGCACCTGAGGGCAGGACAAGAAGCAATGGGTGGAAACTAATCAAGGAGAGAAACAACTTAGAACTAAGGAGGAATTTCCTGACAGAACAATTAATCAGTGGAACAACTTGCCTCCAGAAGTTGTAAATGTTCCAACACTGGAAGCTTTTAGGAAGAGATTGGATAACCATTTGTCTGAAATGAAGCAGGGGGTTGGACTAGAAGACCTCCAAGGTCCCTTCCAACTCTGTTATTCTATTCTATTCTTGTTCTATTTCAGTGGTCAGTGGTCGCAAAACGCTACAAGTAGTCCTTGACTTACAACCATTCATTTTAGCAACCATTCTAAGTTACAATGGCACCCCAAAAAAGTTGCTTTTACAACCCCTCCTTGCACTTATGACTGTCGTAGCATCCCCATGGATTTTTGAGCAAAATCTGGGCGCTTGCCAACCAGCAGGTATTCATGAAGGTTGCAGTGTCCTGGGATCATGTGATTGCTACTTGTGACCTTCTCAGCTGGCTTGTGAGAAGCAGAATCAAAATGGGGGAAGCTGGATTCATTTAACGACCACACAATTCACTTAACGACTGCAGTGATTTGCTTAATAACCATGGCAAAAAAAAAAAGGCTGTGACTCATTTAACAACCATCTTGCTTAGCAATGGAAATTCTGGTCCCGGTTGTGGAGG